CCGTTCTATACATCACGTATGTCATACAGAATGAGTTTCAATATNTAATATTGTGAACTGACTCTGTTGGATACCATCTCTATAAATATAACAATATGAAAAGTGTCAACATTCAATTTCACATGCATGTTACTATGTAGAGTCATCATTATATCATCTAAATAGGTTGTATTTCAAGTTTCAGTCACATTGACTGTCTAGATATTGAGATGTGAATACTAAGGCTGATGAAATGGTACCTTCACTGATTATTGACATGAACATTACAATTGATCATATGATTCTTGTATAAGTATTTCATTATTCAGTAATTGTGATATGATGGTAAAATTTAATTTTGGAATTAAGATTCTTCCTAATTGATTACCTTAGATGTTCCTTAGTTGAGTTAAAGATATTTAGCCATGAATATGAAACTTTCTCAGATTGTTCTCCTCATCAAGCGGAGTGTATTCATACTTGATACTTGTATGATATATTGTAAATTGACTGAGATGGAGTATATTCTATATATTGAATTGTGACATTTTGAAAGATTGTTATTATTATCATATTGAATTCAATTCTAACACTATGAAATTGATACCAGATGTATAATAGTGTGATTAAATGTATCTGGTAAAGTTACATGATGGTTGGATGTACTTTCGTTGAGATAGAGCGTACACTTGGATATAATCACTCTTAACATTGAACATTTACTGATTGACTGAATGTAAGTTTCATGAATTGTTTCAAAACGTATATAGATGCATATAAATGCTTTGGGTTGGGTTTTGGGAGACTGTAGGGTAAATCCATTACCCAAATTTAGTTGTCCAATTATTGAAAATTGACTTTTACCAATATCATACTAGACGTTGTGCACTATATAATAAAAAAGAAATGGAATTTTAATTCACTGTACTTACTCAGAAAATCAACTCTGAAAAGTAGTGTTTAACTTTTATTTTTCATTTCCTAGTAACAAGTATGACTTGGAACACAATCATTTCAAATATGATAGATATACATATGAGTTGACTATAATCACAAAAATATTAGATAAATATAAAGTCTAGAAAAAGTTATAAGGCACTGCCTAAAACATAAAGATTTTTAACCTGTTGGGTCTGAAATTTCCAAGTTGAGTTGGAATGTAAATTTGAATATATTG